AAATCAGGAAGCGTGATGAACCCAACACCTACAATGCAATTAATGCACATTGTCCTTCTAAACTCTTTTATGTTTGTGTGGAATCATAGAATTGTAGAATGGGTTGGGTTGGAAGGGACCTTAGAGATCATCTAGTCCAACCATGTCTGTTACCATCTGACTGTGTATTTAGTATGCATGGTTCTGCAGACAAAGTCCAATTTCTCTCCTCCTTTGGCCTTTAGTTGCAGCTTTAAGACACGAGCACATTGCTGTCTGCTTTCTCTTGGGCACAGCTGCAAGTGCAAATATATTTTGGGGTAGATATGTTGGACTCGAGGGATTTTTTTTTTTTTTTTTTCATGATTTCCTGTTGTTTCCTTATGATCTTTGTCACATGCCTGGAGCCAATGAAATTATGTTAAATGTAGATACTTTTTTCTCCCCTCCTCACCTTTAGGTGTTCTTCACACATCGGTTGTCCTCCTCACAGAGATGTGTGAGAGAAGCCCAGACATGCTTGCACACTTTAGAAAGGTAAGTGTGAACTGGTAATATTGCAGAGTTAATATTCATGGCTTTTTTTGTGGCGAGTTGGGTTTTTTTTGCTTTTTGGGGGGGGGGGGGGGGGGGGGGGTGGGTTTAATTTGCTTTCTAGTGATTGAAGACTGGAGTACAAAGCTCAGGAATACTCAGAAAATACATTGAGTTTCTGCTCCAAATGTTTTAAACATGCATGCATATCTCATGTCTGAAATTTAGAAATAGCCCATGATTTGCCAACAGGATTTGAACAACTCCCACCAGGATAAAGGACCTACTTGTGTTTCGGGGGGAAGAAGGGGGAAAGCAACTGAAACGTTGCATTACTTTGCAAAGAAACAGTAAGACTCAAATTTTGCCCCTTCAGTACAGAAATGAGTACAAGGCTTCAAATAAGCCTGAGAGGGATGGAGCTCCATGTGTGTGTTGTGTGTTGTGGTGTGGGTGGGGTGGGGGTGGGGGGTGTGGTGTTGTGTTTTTTTACCTATGTGTCCTCTTAGTCTCCCTAGTGAAAGCAGTGTGCACATCTTTTATTAAAATCCTTACAACTATTTGGGTGAAGAATTTAATGATACTGTCTGCTTGTTATCAACATATAAAAAAAAAATATAAATTTGGGAATTTTCTGTGTATCTAGCCCTAATCTCCTTCAATAAGTGGGTAAGTTACAGAACATCAGTCTTAAGACTGTGCAGTATGAAACTCATCCTAAAGTTAGATTTAAAGTGTCCACTTCGATGTTCCCTTAGTGTTTTTTCCACTCTTCGTAGCTAATTGCATAGTGACATTGGGATCACAAGTGTATTAAACATAAAGAGGCAAAGATGAAAAACTGAGGCTTATACCAACATGCCTTAACCACAGCTGCACAATTTTATAAACGCAGGTCAAAAATACCAATGGAAGTTAGATAGATACTTCATCGCTGGTGCATGCTGTATTACATCATTTTCCATTGTAACTTAAGGGTTTGAGAGTCAATGTCACTCTTCCTCCTCTGGTTAGGATTGTTTGCTTTTCCTCTCCCCTCCCCTCCCAAACTTCCTTACGCTGTTTGCTCGAACTTGCTGGGCAGTGTTACTGCCCTATGAAAGACTACCAATAGAAGGGCATCTGAAAATTGCATTGATTATGTCATTCTGACTTCTTGGTCAAAGGAGGAGAAATTGAACAAAGCTGGTAGAACAGAACTGGCCATTTGCTCCTGTGAAAAGTCTTAAAGGTGCTTATTTATTTGCATGCCCAGTTTACTGTTCTTCCTTCGCTTGTCTGTATCATTAGGGATTTCAAACAGTACATCCTTTGGTGCATTTTGGCATGCATCTTCCCTTGCCCTGATTGTATATGTCAAAGCAGGAGTGAAAGTGGGACTAGGGTCGTCTTGAAGGTAGCCATCCCTGCTCCTAACTGCTCAGTTAAGATGATAGTCATGGGAAAAGAGAGAAGAGCTGAGCCCACAAAATTTGGGTACTAGGTGCATTCTTTTCTAGCTATGTCTTGTAGTTGTTTATGCTGTGAATGGTATAACATCGATCTGTCCCTAATGCCGGCTTCGTCTGTTTTGTCCCTTTTGTTTGTTTGGAATCCTGCTGTGTGTTAGAATGAAAAGGTAAGAGTTAATTCTTCTAGATGGTGCATGCTTGCATTGAATCTGTAGATGTTTGCCTCTTGTGAGGCAGTGCCTCTTAATGCCACATTTGTGATTGATGCCACGTGCTTAGATCAATTGTACTTGTCTAATGCTTTTTGTGTGCTGGTCTGGTCTTGTCACTAAACCTCTACACCCATGGCAGCCCTGAATCTCAGTTGTGGCCTTGTCCAAACAGGAGCCTGCTTTCCTCAAGTGCGCTCTCATTTGAGGAATGCTTTAGGGAATTTTGTTGCGCTTATGCAAACTGTAGCCCTGGGCTTTCTTCTTATCACAAACTGGGCTTTGTGTTTTGCCTGAATCATGGGGCAACTTCGGGTGATTCCCAGAAGGGAGCAGGAGAGACAGTTACTTCGCCGCCTCTAAGTGGGCTTACTGTGCTGCAAGGAGCTACTGAGTACAGCTGCATTGCTGATATTTTTCATGGGTGTAATTTGACTACAGAAGATGGGGGGGGGGGTGGCCCTCAACCGATCTCCATGGCTGTAATGTTTCCCTTTGTTTGTCCTGTCCTCAGTCCTGATAACTCTTGCATGTTAGAAGGCAAAGAAGAATGTTAATCGGGGTTCCAGGAATGCTCCAGCAGGTCACTGCACTTTGTTACTCTGTCTTGAGGGAAGATGTCGCAGCATCCTTTGGTTTCCTCTTTAAGGCAGATAATAGGAAATTCATGGTTCCTCTTGTTTCTGTGTTTTATGAAATGCACGTTTTCAGAGGAGTATGTAATTGCTGAAGAGCGAAGGTAGGAATAAAAAGAGATGATAGGGAAAGTCAGCTGGTTTTCTTCTTGCGCTGTACCACAAGCGTACAGGACTTTAGTCCAGAAAACATTGCCTGCTTAGTATGCCCACGTGCAGCTGTTGTGCTCTATAAGTCACACGTTGCTTTTGGCACCTTCTGCTACTGTCCTGAATCTGAAGCCCCACCTTGTTTTGATGTTGTCAGAAGTGGCAACTTTACTATAAGCAATCTCTGATCTGGTAAAAATTTTGTGAGTGTGCAATCCCTGACTCATAGTAGGCATACATGAATGCAGGAGCAGCCCATCTCAAGGATGGGAAAATTTGTTAAGGGTGAATTGTTGGAAGGGTTTTGTAGAGAACATTTTGATAAACTGTAATTGTCATGCATGGAGTTGAGAGAAAGAATGATGCTGTCCTGGTGCTAGCCATGCTTCAGGAATGAAAAATGCACTTAGTGCAGCCGCTGTAAGACCTCTGTCTAGTTTGTCACCTCATCTCCAGCTAGTGTCTGGATTACTTTAATAGTACCAGCACTGAGTGGGATAGAAGAAACTGTCCGTGGAAGTAATAAAGCTTGTAGAGATCTACAACTCTACGTCATCCACCAGGAGTGTTTTTTCTCTTACAGTTCTATGAAAATTAGTCCAGTTTCTGTCTTTCAACCTTAAGATTTTTCATAGGATGTGTTGGAAATGAGCTTCCATTTCATCCCTGAGACTATTTTGTTACTCATAGCTGCTATGAAGGTTTTTGGAGATAAATAGTAAGTTTTTTATAGCTTATCTGCTTTAGTGATTGGCTTATTTGCCACGTTCTGCCCTAAACTGATTACTTGCTCTGCACGTGTGAGATACTATGGAGAAATTCTATTACGGTCCCTCAGAGTTGCCCTGACAGATGAAGTGCATCGCTAGAGATGCCTAAGATGGAGGGAGTGGAACCAAACTTTTGCAAATAGGTAGCATTTCTTCAAAGCTGTGCACAAGTCTTGAAGGATAATTCCTATGGGTAGATGTCTACTGGGAGACCAGTGCCATCAACATCTGAGGAATCTGAACTGCTTCTGAAAGTTTTTTAGCCTGCACAGTTGGAAAGAAACTTTAAAATATGAACAGTGTAAGTTGATATGACTTTGTGCTCCCGAATCGGGCATAGTAGCAGTGCTTCCATCAGTTTCTCTGCTATTATGCAGAACCCTGCTAACAGCAGCGAAGCAAAGAATTTGGTCAGTTTAGTGTGGCTGCTCTTGCTGAGAAGTTTGGGAGGAAGAGGAGGAGAGCTCTGGGGCCACTTGCAGGGAAGAAGTTGTCTAACAATCGAGCCCTGGGTGAAGGCTGGAGGGAAACCCATTCTCCACCCTATTTGGAAACTCTTGAAGGGAACGCAGATCACAAAGCTTTTCTTCCTACAAGATAAGTTGGATGCAGTGTCAAACTTGAAGGAATTCTTAATAATTTAATCACAGCAGTTTAATCATTAGTAATTTAATCGTAGCAATTCTTAATAATTTAATCATTTTAATCAAAGATCAAAACGCTTGGCTATGCCTGATACTTCCATGGAGATGTATGCTAAAAACGAGTCAGGAGCTGATGTAAAGCCCCCAAGTGAAGTCCTGGAATTATACCATTTTAATAGTCCCAGCACATCCCCTTTTCATGAAGAGAGGAATTTAAGCTCGTATTTCCTCTCAGGTCTCGACTGCCAAGCTCTGGTAGATACAATGTGGTGCTCAGGTCCCAGCCTAACTGCTTCTAGTTGTGCCCTGGCTAAGCTGTAGGCATTCATATAACATCAGCTCTAGATGTGCAGGTCGAACGTTGTGGAAGAATCCGTAGACTGACTTGCTTTCAAATACAAGATTTGTTCTTGGACCTGTACTTCAAAGCTGCGGGGGCAGGGGAGGAACAACGCCCTAATAGGACAACTCTCTTCTTCACAGCTTGTTCCCCAATTAGTTCGTATCCTGAAGAACCTTATTATGTCTGGATATTCACCAGAGCATGATGTGTCTGGGATCAGTGACCCCTTTTTGCAGGTAAGAACTGATGCAAACAATGATTGATAGCTTTAATTCTAGTACTGCGTTTTGAGACTGAGGTGTGATGAGGTGGTTACCTCAGGGCAGCTGTGTTGATTGTAAGATTTTGTGTCTTTGTTAGAGCTGATAGTGCAAATGCTCTTCATCTACCTTAGTGAAAGACACCTGCCTTAGTTCAACAGCAGTTGTAGTGCCTTCTCATATTATGTGGAGTTGTGACAAAAGGGAGAAGCAGCAGCACGTGTTGGTCTTGCAAGGCTGTGCCTGGTGGGTAGTGGGGGTACTCTTAACAGTTTTAGCTAGCGGGAAGAAAATGAGCACAGCATAAGCCTGTTCTTGTTGGTAAAGGTCTTATTAAGGATAAGCATTTTGCTTCGGAACGGAAATGAGCAGCTTGTTTTGCTTCTTTGCCACTCCTCAGGAAGTGTACTGGGCGTTTCATGGCCCCCATGTAAAACGCTGCCATCCAGTGAGATTTTCTTTGCTTTATTTTGTCAAATAGGTACGAATCCTGCGGTTACTAAGAATTTTAGGGCGAAATGATGACGATTCTAGTGAAGCAATGAATGATATACTTGCACAGGTGAGGTCTGCAACGTTGATGAGCAACTTAAACTTTCTCTTTTGGTTTCTTAATAATTTGGATTCAGCAGCGCTGGTGAGGATGCAGCGGGTTGCTGTGCTGGGTTGAATTTCGCTGCACGAGACACGTGTTCGTAGGTGTGATGCTTGTTGCTGGGGATTGGTTAGTTTCACTGCCTGTTCTGCGGAACAGCACAAAGGGGGATCTGTTTTGGATGTGTTGTCGCTTACTTTTGTTTCTTTTCTCCAGGTTGCCACTAATACAGAAACAAGTAAAAACGTGGGAAATGCCATTCTCTATGAAACTGTGCTGACTATTATGGACATAAAGTCTGAGAGTGGACTGAGAGTAAGTTGCCTTTGCTATGGCCTTTTTTTTTACCCCCCTAGGCTTGTAGTAGAGTAATTTGCATAGAGGGCATGAAGCAAAGTCATTTCACCCAAACGTAGCTCTGCGGTTAGCTCTAGATAAGGCTGTAGCCTCTTCAGAAAGTGGTGCTTGTGTTTTTTAAAAAATAACAAAAATAAAAAAGCAAAACTTCCTGCCGACTGTGTTCCCTTGAGTGCAGGAGAGAGCATGTGCTGTGTTTGTCTTAGGTTTTCCTCTGCTTAGTCAGCTTCTGGCCAAGAACCACAATGGTAGCTTTGACTTGTAGCCTTTAAAATCATCTTGAAACAATGAAGATGACCAGCAGCCTTTTTTGATCACTGACCTTCCCTAACTCTTTCTGCAGGTGTTAGCCATTAACATCCTAGGCCGTTTCTTATTAAACAACGACAAAAATATTAGGTAAGTTGTATGAAGTGTGTTTTGGCAACACCCAGTTTAAAACTTGTGAGAAGCAATTACACAAAGACTATGCTGAAGTAGAGCTTTCCAGGAGACCATATTGGGAAGTACTGTTGTTGGGGTTAGTATGACTGTCTAGCTTTCTTCTTTCTTGGTGCATTCTTTTCTCTGTGAAAATCCTAACTGCGCCCCTCCCCATCTTAGTTGATGAGTCTGGGTGTATAATCTAATTCTTAACATGGGATTTCTTAATCTAGTCAAGTGTTTTTTCCAATAACCTGTGAATCTCCTGTCTTGTCACCACAGACCAGTTGGGACATTCAAATCAGAGTTGGCATTGGAGATCTGGCAAATTAGGCAAAGACCGTGGTGGTGGTGTGGTTTTTTTTTTTTTTTTTCCTGTTTGTGTGCTGTTGGCAACAAGGAAGTTGTGCTTTGGTCACTATGAATCTGAACATGGAATTGCTGCAACTGCTGTACTTAGGTCCCATTTCTAGGTATTTTGATTCCAAATCATGGTATAGGTAGAAGACTCTAGCCTTGGGAATTGCAACTCACACTAATTTGAGTGTATGATCTGTGGAGGTCTAATCTTTAATTGTCTTGTCTTTTCAAAATCTTTGTGAAGACTGGACAACTGACACGAGCCCAGGAATTGGGACAGGTGCTTGTCCAGGCAGCGGGATGTTGTCAGGCATGTTACGGTTTAGTATGGTAACTCACTTCTGAAGATAGACCAGGCAGTCCCCTGGAAGATTTCCATTCGATACTGAGTACAAGAAAACCCTGTTCTGTTGCAAAATAAGACTAAGTTTTGGGGGGTGTGAGTGTCTGCGCATAGAAATTAAATGCCTACTGTCAACTATTTATTACCATATGTCCTTATCCCAGATATGTAGCTTTGACGTCATTGTTGAAAACTGTGCAGACGGACCATAATGCAGTACAGCGGCATAGAAGCACTATTGTGGACTGCCTGAAGGATCTGGATGTCTCCATTAAAAGGTAAGTGAAGTATCAGTGAAATAGACTCTCAAGGTTGACAGCCTATGGCAGGGGAGCAGGGCACAGGGGAAAATGACAGTCATCTTGGGGGTCTGTGAGGGAGACTAGTATGGTTCATACTTCAAAGAAGGTAATGAAGATGTGCAGCCACCTTCTTTGGGAGGCTGCTTTTACATTTTATTCATCTTGGATTGGAAAAAAAAGATTTTTTTCTGTTTGCCTGAATTTTTCCAAAATGGAGTCGATGGAGATCAGATTGTGTGCTCACAACAAGATGGAAAGCCTCCATAAAGTATGATCCTAATCAAAGCTACTCTGACATGCTCTGTATTGCTTTTCTTTCCCAGACAAACAGGCAGAGCTATGTTGTCTTGAAGCAGTGTTAAGCTGTATGAATAATGTATTCTAGATTAAATTTGATTAGGCAGTGGTAGAATTCAGACTTACTTGATTGTTCAAATAACTTGCTAACGAACCACGTCCTGTTATGCATTCTTGGTGTTCATTTGTCCTTTGAATAGCGGTATGTTGATACTTCTCTGGGCAGTGGGAGAGCTTGCAACCTTCTCACCCCAGGAAGACTTTTTTTCAGATACTCAGTCTAAACTTCTTCCTCTGTTTCTTCTCATTACTTCAGTTATGTTTCTTTTACTCATGATAGTAACTTTCTCCTCTTTCTCTCAGACACTCATAGATACTCTTGAATTGTTTGATCCCACTTTTGCCCAACCTGTATGGAATGCTGCTCTTCTAAATTGAGTCCTTCAGCCTGTCAGTTGCTTGCTCTTTCTTTCAGAGCTCTCTTCCTCATCGTTGTTATTCTTATAACTGGTGGTCAGAGCTCAGTGCAGCGTATGACATGTCAGTGATGGGGACAGTTGCATCCCTGTTGCTTCTTGCAGAATCTGTCTGCTGCAGGCCAGAATTTCATTCAGCTCTCGTCACGTCATGAATATACTTTCAAAATTGCTCAGCCTGTTTTTTCCGTGTTGTCAAACTGATTAGATCCTCGTTCTGATAGGCATTCTTCAAATTTATGCCCATCTTTGAATCAGATCTAGATTTTTAACAGGCTAACATGTACAGAATAGGAAAGAAATTGGATCTGTCTCGCTTCTGAAACTTAAACTGTTATGTAATGGGTAGCATGTAATCTATTTTTACAGTTGCAATCTACCCCAAAACACAAATTTGTATTTCTGTGCTGAGCAAGTCAGGCTGCTGTTGCTCTTCAGTGCCAGAGCCAGCATGCGGCTAGGTTGTAGAATAGCAAAGCCCCATCTAGGTTTTGCATAGAAGGCAACAAAAGCATTTTATTGGTGCCTGCTAGGAAAACATAGGTATGCTGCAAACAACAGAGCTTCATGTCTGAGTGCTGTTGGAGGATGAAGCCTTTGAGTGATCCATCAGCAGAGCATGATGTTGCCATGCTGACACTCGTGCTGCTGACAATGCACTGTCGTCATTGAAGCAATGTATTGACTGGATGTCGGAGTCCCCAGGTAGCAAGTTTCACGGGCTGGGACTTGAGGGAAAGACGTGATACCTGGTTTTAGTTATCTGAAGCATGCCCTGTTCTCATCATCTTTTAACCATTGCAGTGTATCTTTGGTCCATGTAGTATAATTCAGAATGTCTTCGGCATTTAATTAAAGTCTTTTTGTCTGCTTAATATGATCAAACTACGTGATTAGGAACTTTGTGGCAGAAATGAGCCGTGTAATATGATTGAAGGTAAGCAATATGTGTTGAGATAAATGCCTGGTATTAATATTGCAGAGTACCTCTGTGCACCTGCACTATTAATATATCTGCTGTAATGTGACTGAAAAGTTAAACATAAACATGGAAAATTTGTAACCCAGTAGGGTTAGGTGTAAGGAGTTGGAAACTACTTGGAGGGATGAAAACAGTTCTAATAATGGTATAGGTCTTCAACCAACCACAGGTCTAGATGATAAAAGGTAACAATTCAGTTATCTATTTCCACCCTAATTCTGAACGCCTCTGTTTTCTAGGTCCCTGGGTATTAGTTGGGTAAAAAGCAAAAAACCACATTTACAGTTCATAATTCTGTAGAAATCCTTCTTAAAACAATAATAACTAGGGAGATGTTGAGAAGCAGTGCTGTGTAGATGTTTTCAGATTCTTGAGAACAAATAGCTTGTGTGCGATACCATTGGATTGGGTAATGTGCCTGGTCTAAGTTGTTGATGTTTCATGAGCATTGGGAAAATACTAAGCGATCAGAAAAAATAACTGTGTCCATGTAGCGGTAGGTTGGCAAGCTTGACACTGGAGCAAGACGGAATCAGTGGGACTGCTCGTGGGTTTGCTGCCAGTATACGTACGAAAGGAAGACAGCATAACTCATGCATCTCAACACTATCATTTTAATGAAAATTGCTGAGTTAAACACACATTGAAGTCTGATCTATTTGAAGAAAGTATATATTACAAAATAGACTTTAGGCCTTGTGGCATAATTTTGGACATAATCTGTTGCACAACAAGCAGTACAAAATCACTGTACACATGAAGTAGTTCAGCAACTATCCAGATGATTTCAAAAGATAACTGAAATGGGGGAGGAAGTTTTTGATGTGCTATGAGGATCTTTCTTGACTTCAGTAGGCACTCTCAGTTACAGGCAGAGAATAAAGTTCCTGATAGTATGAAGAGGAGGCAACTTGGAGGTTTGGGTTCTGGATTACACCAAATGCTCAATTTTAAAGAATAGTCGGGGGTTTTTTAGTGAGAGTGTTTTAACGCATTGTTTTAATGCATTTTAACATAACTAATTGCCAACGTTGTACAAAAATCAATCGCATTTGAAGATATAGTCTTCATTCAAAAAATGTCAGAAGAATGGGAGAGCTGTGCTAGAATCAACTACAGAAGCTTCGAGTAGAAGGACTGAGGACTAGCCTCACGGCTCTTGATGTATACAACAAGGGATAGCGAAGAGCCAGTACTCTCTCCAGTTGTGGTGTCAACTTCGGGGGAGGGGGAGGAATGGGTTCTGAAAAGAGCACCAAGGTAATTTTGGGTTCTAGAAATCTTACATGGTCTATCCGACACGATACAATAAAGCTTATCAGTTAGTATTTTAAATCTCTACTGTTTTTCAGTCTCTAATATATGGAGATCGAAACAGGTCTCTTCTGGATCCCTGAAGCTGGAGAAAGCGTCTTGTAGCATGGGTTACTTATTGCACTTGTGTGTCAGAAATGACCAGCATGTGATTACAAATACTTGGGCAGTCAGACCTTAACGCTGGTGGACTCTGGTTGCTGAAAGATATTTCTAGCCTTTAGGACATCTGGATAGGTGTTTCTAGAACACCCCATACCCCCACTCCCCCATAGGTTTTTTCAGGGTGGGTATTTATTGTCTGCCCATGGACAGGAAAATATTGGTACGTTTAATGTGGAAGGCTCTTCTTGCAGGATTAATAAATATTGCTCTCTTCATAATTAAAAAGTAAGTGCATTTGAGTGGGGGGAAAAAAAACCCAAACCACTAGGTGAAGATACTTTATTGGTTTTCTGTCTCTTGCCCTAGGCGTGCAATGGAACTCAGTTTTGCTCTTGTTAATGGGAACAATGTCCGTGGAATGATGAAGGAGTTGCTGTATTTCCTAGATTCCTGTGAACCGGAGTTCAAGGCAGACTGCGCATCTGGAATATTTCTTGCAGCTGAGAAGTATGGGATCAATTTACTTGCTATTAGTTTTTTGTACATCCTCGGAACTGTGAGCATTTTGTGTGTTGTTCCTTCCCCTCCTCACCCCCCAAGAGAGAATATGTTGGTCATCTCTTCTCCATTTGCTGATCTGTGTGTGGTTTGTCAGTTTTAAGCCGCTCTGAGGAACAGGACACACTAGTTTGTCCCGTATGGATAGTCCTCATATCCCTAAGCCAGTCTAGTATATCGATTTCTGCTGCACTTTGGAACAGGTATTGTGCCGACATCCTGGCCCTGCCCCCCCGCCACACACGCAGATTCTCTCTGGTTAGTTGTACAGCTGAGATGATCTCGTTACCATTGGGCCATTGTAATCAGCAGCCTGACTTTATTGTATATACAAGGTATGGCTGTGCTATATTATACAGACTTGTATATTCATTCAGCTTTCCGATGTCGGCATTAATACAAAGAAGTCCAAGAACGTGAAGTGTGCGGTGTTTTGTTTTGGGGGGGTGGGGTGGGGTTGTGTGTGTTCCCCTCTCGGGAAACGGTGGGCCAGGAAGTAACTGAAAGGGGAGGGTCTGACGATGATGTGTTTCTTGCTGGTGTTGAAGGTTAGCAGTTATTGCTCTAACTTGTTTTCTTAATTTTGTCAGATACGCTCCTTCCAAACGCTGGCACATAGACACAATTATGAGAGTCTTGACAACGGTAAGTGAGATTGCCTCTCTTGTGTGTGACTACGTACAAATTTTTTAATTCTGTAGGAAGTTACTCATCATCAAGCTGGAGATGGCTATAAAGGCTGGCAGATAACAGACACCACAATACACGGAGAAAGTGTACTTACGTGGTAGTGACCCAAGGCAGGCAATCAGAAATATATAAACTCAGTAAACATGACTGAGTGGTTTTTTAGAAGAAATGTATGATTTCAGAAACACACAACACAGTGTGTAGCAGAGTTCTTCTACTGCAGTAATCACATTAGCTTCTAAGTTACAACAGCTCTTGTGCTGTCTGTGATTCCAATGTACAGTGCTTTCGGGGAAGAGGAAACGTAGCCTTAAGTGACTTGCAAAGAGAGAGGGGGTGAAACAATGTCTTGGAATTATTCCAAGTTGAGTTTGTCAAAGCTTTTTTAATGAAACTATCAACAGCTTTCTAGTTCCTCTTCTTTGGGTTTAATTATTTCTCTTTACCTACGTTAATTTCTTTATAAGCATCATAGCTGAGGTGGAACTGGAGCAGTGTTTTGGCAAACAAGAGGGAAGAGATCTTGATAACTTGGGTAGGCAGCGTGTTCCCTGAGGCAAAGGAGTGGGAACAGATTTACTTTATCAGTATGAGTGCTCAAAATTGAGACGTTCATCCAGAAGAGAGTCTGGCTTGTGTGCTATTTTGCCACCCTGAAACAGAGAAAAGTAGATTCCTCTGAACTGAGAATTGATTTCCATTAGGTGGTTGGCTGTGAGAATTGCTCTCAGATTACTTCCTTCAATAAAGTAACTTCCTTCCCTTGGCTGCTAGAGAAACCACTTATAAAGCTGTATTCATGAGACTACCTACTGCAGACTTCTGCAGATAAACATCCTTTTCCGTTTAGCAGCCTTATGAGAACTAACACAGAAAGATGGCACCAGCCATATTTGGCTAGGTGGATTCTCGCTTAGTTGACCGAATTGGGCTCACTTAATTTCCTTCTGTTTGCATGCTTTGCTCTCAGTGCCAGAGGAGTGCCTAAACAGAACAGGTTTTGAACAGTATACATGTTCCCTTCAGTGCCAAAGCTGTGTGATTGTGTATCGCCCCACATACTTACCTGGCCTTAAAGTGGGCTTTTTCCCTCTGAGCTCTGTGTTCCTGTCCTCTAACCAGAGTGATATGCAGGCAGTTTCCTGGGTCCTGTGCTTATTTGGCATAGAGTCTGGCTTTGAGCAAGCGATTGAGTAAGTTGTGTTCTGCCCCCAGGGCATCTTTGACTTAAAGCCTTCCATTTAACAGAGCAGTGTTCTGTGTTGTGGTGGGTTTGGTTTTTTTTTTTTTTTCCCTCCTGTAGCACAGGCTTCTTACATCCACACTCTATCCTCTTGACGATTTCAGGATATCTGTAGTATGGATTTCTCTCAGTATGGTTGAGTTCATTGGGATAATGTACTGTCCTTTACTTCTACCCATCTGAGCCTGCTCAAAATCAACCATAAAGTGCTTGAGGGTGAGAAGGTTGATTTTTATTTCCATGCACATCAGGTGACTTTGTGAAGGATATCAGCAGATGCTGGGTGTTACTGAGAAGTCAGATAGTGAAACCAAACAACTTTTATTTCTCTCGATTACACAATTGTTCTTGCAGGCAGGAAGTTATGTTCGTGATGATGCTGTTCCCAATCTGATTCAGCTAATAACTAATAGTGTGGAGATGCATGCCTACACTGTGCAGAGACTCTACAAAGCCATCCTTGGTGATTACTCCCAGGTAATACCAAATGTGACCAGCCAGCTTCAGTTTCCTTGTTGTACTGCACTAAGCATGTTTACTAAGCATCTCAAGGTAAGTCAACATCACACTGTCTAGCTCCAAGGGACAGATTGCAGAGGAGGCATGTCTCCTCTAAGTTCATGTTCTTTTTGTTTTCTCTAATTCTTTTATGGAATTCTTGATCGAATCAAATATTCCTGTTTCTTCTGCTCTGGAGAACTTCCTTGGCTGGAAGGAGGGCTAAACTCACTCTGGGAAATGGTGATTGTTTAATTTGTCACACAGGCATCCATTTGTCTCTGAGGCATCTGATTTTTCTTCTTCTAACAGCAGCCCCTGGTGCAAGTGGCCTCTTGGTGCATAGGAGAGTATGGAGATCTTCTGGTGTCTGGTCAGTGTGAAGAGGAGGAGCCAATACAGGTACAGCTTGGGAAAGAACAACAACTGCGTACCTGGCTGAGGCTGGAGCTGCTTGCTGCTGGCCATGTGAGGGGAATGCTTGCAACGGTTACTTAGCACTGGTGTCCGTGATGGACCCTGGACAGGAATCTCCTTCCCATACTACAGGCATGGGCTGTGTAAACGCTCTGTGAGGAGTGCAGCTATGACGGGCAGAGCGATGTAGTTTCAGTGCTGACCTAGCTTGCAGGGTATCTGCTAGGGTCTTAGCTGCGTATTTTGGTGATAAACCTGCTCTTCAATGTGTGGAACAGGAACTGTATTTTAAAACTAATATCATAAGATCTCCACCTAGATGCATCTGTCTCATACACTGAATATATGCTACAGGCTCACAAAGTTGCGGAGGAGGTACAACGTGGCCATTAAGCAAGAGACAGGTTTTTACAGTATGCCCCAGAAGGCTTGCTGCAAAGCGTCTCTCTGTCTCAGCCTAACCTTTCTGTACCTTTTTCAGGTAACAGAGGATGAAGTTCTTGATATTTTAGAAAGCGTCCTGATATCTAATATGTCTGCATCTGTTACACGAGGCTATGCTCTCACTGCCATCATGAAGCTTTCCACAAGGTTCACCTGCACTGTGAAGTGAGTTCTCGTTGATGTTGTACTGCACAGGGCTTTGTTGCAAATATGCTGGCATCAATTGTCTTCATAGAAGTATTCCTTGGACACATTCTGCTTCCATGGTTTACAAGAGTCGTCACATGATTTGTTGGCTTTTACAGTCCTCGTTTGCTTGCAGGGTGGAAGACTTCCACTGATTTGTACTGTTTTCTCTGTGGATGTCCTCTACTGTGTAGGGACTTAATCTGTGGTGCTGTTGCTTGAAAACTCCTTTATGGGGAAGATAAGTCCTTATTTTCAGTGGACTGCTCTTTCCAGTTCCTTTTTTGGATAACGGAGAGAAAAATAGTCTTGTTTTCTGTTGATGGCTTCTCGGTGCGGGTAGTTGAGCTTTATTGTGATATACCTTGTGGTGGTATATTCATCACCTGCCGATGCTGTTGTGAAGGGACAGTTCAAAGATGGATGTTGCATAGATACTTGGGGAAAACAGCAGTGACTGCTGTAGTTACACAGGACACCTGTTGAGCAGAGGCCAGATAGTGTCTTCTGGATGACACATGCTAATCCCTTGCTTATTGCTGCTAATTTCATGGTATGGTGTTTTTTGTTTGTTTGTGTGTTTCTCCCCTGTCCCCACACAGTCGCATTAAGAAGGTAGTTTCCATTTATGGCAGCAGCATTGATGTGGAGCTACAGCAGAGGGCAGTGGAATATAATGCACTTTTCAAGAAATATGATCACATGAGGTAAGTGCTGATGAGTTCTGGGGTTTGAAAAGAATCATAATCTACTCTGATCTCCTGTGTACCACACTTTGTGCTTTTAGAGCTTTGTCTGGTGATTTTCGTAGGATTACAGAGGAACTAGAATCCCTCCCTCATCTGTAGGGTTAGTGAGTGTTTTAAGAACTTAACATGTCCTGAGAGATTGTTCTGTGATCAGAGACTTTCTCTGCCAAAACATTTGCCCTGCTTTGACTGATTTTCACTTCTAGGTGTTGAATCTTAAATTTGCTAGCAGAATAAGTGTCTGCAGGTAGCTTTTACCACGCTAGCATTACCACAGGCATTAGGTTCAAACTGATTTTAAAATGTCTTTGGAATAAACATGCAGAGATCCCTTGACCTGTCCTCCTCCAAGCTGTGCTCTGAACTTGAGGTAGTTCTTCCAACTGTTAATGCTTTTCGGTTTTTCAGAATATCTTTTTAATTTACTGTATCTTCTTGTAGAATCTGTTTAAAATCTCAGATTCTGCATGCAAAGGTATACTATTTCACTGCACCACTCAGCATCCCTGTTCTACAATTTGCGAGCATGTTAACCTCCTTACAGCTTATCGAGAGGTCCCCATTCATCATTGCTTTGCTCAAGTGATTGTTTCTTTATAAGAACGTTAAAACTCTGCTTTGTTGCCATAACTAAAGCTGTGATTCTTTGCAGAATAGTCATTAATCTGCTATATGCAATACTTAATTGTTGATACGTAGGAGCACTACAGATTCTATTCAGTGAGGGTCATAAGATTGGAGGAGATCTTCTGGGAATTAACTTCATCCACCCTTAAAACTTCCCATAAGATTCCGTTGGATGGAGGAGCATCCACTTTAGAGTCTAGATGAGAGGACAGAGAAAATGGGTGCCACTGGACTAAATATTGCCTGTGTTTGTAGAGGCCTCCAGACCTTGTTTCAGAGGCTCTTCGCAATCGCTTTTTTTCCATAGGTACCATCCTATTCACTATGTGTAGGACACATCCTGGTGATTTCCTCTTTTCTTTCCTCCTGTGGGATCCACGCAGCAACTCAAATGGTTCTTGGAAAAGTCACATTAATGAGCTAGGGGGTGTGAGCTGCCTAGGGCTTCACGTGAAGCCTCACGAATGAGTTGAGAAAAGTCTAGGAGGAGAGGCTTTTGATCCAAGTAGACCATTGCAGACAAGTGTCTGGTGGTCAGCTGGCTTTTGATCAGATGGCAGCGTATGCTATGCGTAGTTTTGGGAAGCGTTGCACTTCAGAAAAACATACGTGAACTTCATTCAGTTTTACAAGAGAGCATCTGTATTTTTTCCCCCCAGTATATTCTGGTGTTCATTACAGTGTAAAGGTCAATGTTTAATAGTTTCTGCTCATTAAGACTTTATTCATGGTCAAAAATGTGGCCCATTGTTGGGTTTATTGGCACTGGAACACTTTTTCAGCCCAAAAGATGCATAGGCAGTGTGGCTTACCCCTGTTACATGCGGCGCTTTGTGGCTTGATCTGCAAGGGTAATGGCCTTTCTTGTATTACAGGCTAGTTCTCCCTATACAGGTTTTCCTAGTTTTTTGTTTTGATGTCAGGATTTTGGATCCTGTGCCTCTTCTTCAGTCTCTGTATCGTTTCAGGAGGGCATTCTCAAGGGCTGAACTTAATCTCTTTGGAAACTTAATTTGGCTAAATGAGAGCATGGTGATTTGCTTTTCCAACTTAGAACAACTTAACAGTTGTTAACAGTTAGCGGCTGTTCTAAGTTGTTAACCCTTCTGCAAAGAGAAGTCAAATGAGCTGACTCTGACTCAACTGCATATGGAACAGAGCAGTCAAGTGTCCCGTGTCCCATATTTGCAGTTAATCCACCATTGCTCAATTATCTAATCTTTGTCCTGGGTTGTTATCCTAGCCCCACAGTGGAAACTGTGTCAAGTACTAGAGGAAAACAGGAGGCAGAAGGGCTTATTTGGCTTTCAGCTGTCAAGTGATGTATTTACACTGGCACAGAATGCCGGGGATTGCTTCTGACCACCTCGAGCTGTCATGCAGTCTTACAGTTCCCCTGCACTGGAGCTAAAAGGAAAAGGCAGGTTGCCCTGTGTGTATCATCTCCTGAATGTCTGAGTATTTGGATTGGGATCCAGGAAGATGGCACAGTGTAACTATGTCAGCTTCTTTCAGGCCAGCCCTGCTTGAGAGAATGCCAGTAATGGAGAAAATCACCACAAATGGCCCTACTGAGATTGTACAGACCAACGGAGAGACAGAGCCAGCGGTACTGGAAACCAAACCTCCACCCTCTGGATTGCAGCCTGCTAGCCAGGTAATGGAAACTGATCTAGGATAAGTTTCCACTGCCTGTCAGACCACACTACTAGTCACTGCCAACAGTAAGCTGAGACCATCTCCCTCCCCCTCTCTGCCTCTTTGCTAGTTCTGGCCTGGTGATGATTGCATCATCTCTCGACTCTGATGGCTCTAGTGTCAAGAGCAGGTGTGTGGAAGAGGTCATTGTGGGGAGTGCAAGAGCAGGGTGGGGTAAAGCCATATATCCCCCAGCCTGCCTCAGTGTGCACGAACCCCATCCTTCTCTGTCTCTGTGGTCCCAAGAGCATGGAAGCTAGATCTCTCGTGGGGCATGGGACCATAGCCAAACTAAGAACCTCTCTGACTGGCCAGCAGCTCTGTTGGTCTTCAACCTGAGAGCAAGTAGAATCGATTACATTTGCAAGGGAAAGCAGCAGGAAGTCGAATATGTAACTATTACATCCACTCTCTCATTAGGCAAATGATTTGTTGGACTTGTTGGGGGGAAGTGATATAACCCCTGTAATCCCCACTGCACCTACAAGCAAGCCAGCCTCTGCTGGTGGGGAGCTCCTTGACCTCCTGGGAGACCTCAACCTAACAGGTGAGCAGGCTGCATCTCTTAAGTCTACATTCTCAGTCCTGGGGTGGGATGAGGGCTGACTAGTTCTTCACTTTCTATCAAATCCTAGTCTTCACACTTATTCTTACCAGGATCCATATTAGTATACAGGTAGGAGTCAAGGAATGAAGTCACAGGTTGACTCTGCATGATTAGCTGGTGAGACTTGAGCATTTTCACGCTCCAGCCTGGGAATGCTGTGAGCCTTTCCAGAGCGGACTGGGAGATGTGAGGAATTCATTCCATTTGAATGCCTGCTAGCTCAAGGGGAGCCAGTCCTTGTTAGTGAAAGCAGGGAAGGGGAGGATAACAAGACAAATGATTTGTAGAGCTTCATGTAAAGAAATATGATATGCAGCAGTTGATCTTTGGGGAAGGAGTAATTACTCTTCATTTCATGACAGCTAAGCAATAATCCTTCAACATTTCTTGTAGGTTCTCCAGTATCTGCCCCCGCGCCCCAGATAGCACAGCCTCCGTTCCTGCTTGATGGACTGTCATCACAGCCTCTCTTCAATGATATCGCTGCAGGTTAGGGACATGTAAATCCTTAGCCTAAGGTGCCACAGCACCCAACTAGAAGAGGAAAAAAGGGGTAGTAAAAAAAGGGGGATTTGGGATTGAAGTGTGGCACAGACACTGGAGCAGGAGGAGGGAGTATGTTTAATCTTCAGAAGAGTTCATGTCTGGGGTAAAATAAATGCGTTCTATGATGTTGAGAATTATCTCCAGATTCTGTAGGTCTACTGCTTTTTTTTGTTTCTGCAGGAATCCCCTCAATTACTGCATACAACAAGAATGGGCTGAAGATTGACTTCGCCTTTGAGAGGTCAAACACCAACCCTAGCGTCACTGTAATCACGATACAGGCCTCCAACAGCACAGAGCTGGATATGACAGATTTTGTTTTCCAAGCTGCAGTACCAAAGGTAGAGCGACTCAGGGCAACTACAGTGATAGGTTGAGGGCCAGCTGCAAATACTTCCTGATCGGTGCTTTCGTGTAGACAGAAACTTGCAGCATGGTAAACATGGCTAAGAGCTGTTAATAGGTTCTCTTAGTGCTCAGTTTGGTCATCTTTTTCTAGTCTGAAAGTAAATGTTATAAATGCAATAGAACACCGGTTCCTATCAGATTGGTCTACTTCTGCTTGGACAAAATCTTGTTTTAAAATCACCACTTTCTAGGAAGGTTGCTAAACCACATGCAGAAAAATATTGGATCAAAAAAAAAAAAGTGAAGACACTAATCTTTCCCTTTATTCTTAGTTTCTAAGAAATATACCATGCTCTTTGCAGCTATGAATACATGAAAAAAAAATCTTCTGAAGCTATTAGCTGCTTATAAAAGTTTAAATGAGTCCCCACATGGTGATTAGTGATGGTCCTTCTTTAAGCAGTGAATTGCCTCCCCATGCACTTAGCTGCAGCACAAAATATGGGAGACAGATATTGCCTAGTTTATAGTGGAGCAGACCATGTAAGCAGGGTGTGACTGGAATGTTCGTCAAGTTTGGGAAAATACATTCACTTCTGTGAGTTTCACTTCTAGGAATTAGTAATGCTCTAACTTTTAATTCGGAGAGGTTTAAAGAATGGGCTTCCTGAAGTTACAGGTGTGCTGAGGAGTCTTGACTGTTCCTCTGCGTGTGACACTTGAAACAATGCGTCACTGCTGATCTTGGTATGCTACAGTAAGCCCTCACCCCCTAGTATTTGTGCTACCTGGATCTTACTTGTCTAGAAAGCAGGTGGGCCAGTGACTATTGTTCTTTGCAGATAGGGAATTGAAGAATCGATTATTTGACTTTATTGTGGCTGTACATATACTGTCAGGGCCAGGAACTGAACTCTTCATTTTCCTTGCTTTCTTTCAGTGCAAACAAATCACTTTATTTTCTTACTTGATTAAGCATCAAATTGTTTTCTCTTTGCCCTTTCTTCAGACATTCCAGCTGCAGCTCCTGTCTCCCAGCAGCAGTGTCATCCCTGCATTTAACTCGGGGACCATCACACAGGTCATTAAAGTCCTGAATCCACAAAAGGTGAGTGATTCTGAGAACAGTTACTAAAGATACTGTCTTGGAATCATGCATTTAGTGGCAGTCGGTTAGGAATGCATCTCTGATGAGAGAGGGGGAGTGATGGTAGTGAATGATGTGTTTTTAATGACAGTCATTTTGGTTAGAGTTGGGAAAAAGTTATGAAAAAGACAGGGGGTCCTAGATGGCCTTTCTAGAGGAGCTCAACCTGCTGTTTGTGTTGTAAAAGCGATGTCTGAAAGGCAAGCATCTTGCCATATAAATATATTTATCATTTGTTCTTGCTATCTGCAGCAGCATTACTTGAAATGTTTGTTATGCAAAAATAGCTTGATCCATAATCGTAACAAAATTGTCTGTTTTCTCAAGTGGTGTCATCTTGTTTTTAATGTGATGAGTGTAGTGATGGAAAGAGTCTTTAGGTGTGATTTAATCATAATTCCATTTGGTTTACAGCCTTCAGAGACAGGCTTCAAGACTGGGATACAACAGACTTGAGGGGAGGGAGGGGTGTGGCCCACGTGTCCTCCTTAAGAGGCTTTGCAAGTATTCAGATGGCATCAGAAAGAAAAGTAAAATTAAGATCACTTATTTCTTCCTTTGTGGGACACCCTTAAGACCTTAAACATCTTTAAGAATTTAAAACATCTTAAGTTTTTCATAGGTTAACAGTTATGTACTGCTCTGTATGTTAAGTGTTGCTGCTAGACTGATGTGCAAATTAGAAAATTTCTCAAATCTCAGCCCAAGATTTCACTGAAAGGGCTGTCTTCTAGTGCATAGTTTTTGTGGTTTCCATGCATCTCCCCTTATCTCCATGTAGTATGCTCTCCTCTGCCTGTATTAAGGCAGAAGACTAATTATTCTCTTTGTCTTGCATACATCGGATAGGAATTTCTCTGTGGTGCTGTAGAGCACCTTTCAAAGATCACTGTGAAAGTTATTTTCTGAACTTGGGAGGGTTTAGGAGTTTTCCTGTAAGGTGCGAGAAGTCACAACATATCCACCTCAGATGGGCCCCACAAGGTGAAATACACCTAGATGGTGGGATGCTTTCTTGTTGGAACACCAGAACTCCTATGAACACTTCAGAATACAGAGGTGCAAAATAGTATTTTACTACCCTCTTCTCTTGCCCACTGTTTTCTAACTCTTCCACTTCAGGCAGTTGTGCATCTCCTGCTGTCCTTTAGATTGCTACTGCCTAAAAGCTTTGTGAGAACCCTGTCCATGAGATAGTGTAGTTACCTGGAATACTCTGAGGGAGGCAACTTTGGAACAGCCTTGCTATTTAGGAGGTAGCTGTTTGTCTTGTCAGTGTTGTAAAAAAGTCTGTTCACCTGGATGTGGACTGTCATTACGCTGGATTGAAACTGATGGCCAGTTTCCTAAAACAACACCAAATACAGCAAAAACTGACACTGATTTATATTGATCTATTAGTGATAAAGCATAGCTGCTTTATCCTGAGGCTGGTCGGAGCAGTCATTGTCCTCCTTTCCTCCCTCTGCTCTACCTTTTGCATGTTTCCCTGTAGGTATGGGCAAAAGACCCAGAAATAGCCAACTTTTTGCTTTTCCTTTTAGGATTTTTGGGAAACAAGTGTTTTTTGAGAGTGAGTAAAATAGGGAACCTGGCTGGAGCATGCTGTGCTCTAGCTATTATTAGGGGCCACCTAGTATCTGGATGACAGCCAAATGACAGAGTGCAAAACAGCTTCTGAGCTATTCCATCATTTACTCACAGCAAGAGGAAATGTTCTTAGAGACTGTTTCCAGTCTTTCTTAGGCTATTTCCTTCATACTGCTACTGAGCTATGCAATACTTGGTTTCCAGACCGCTGCTTTGAGTGAACAGCTAGTATGGGAAATGGCACCTCTCCCTGTGAGCGTAAGTGCAGAGCAGCAGAGTCCAGATCTGCCTCCTGCTTTCTTCCATTGTTAACTGGGATTTCAAGGCAGTTATTTTTGTATTTAAGGACTTCAGTGCTTGTGAGAGCAGGGCCAGTGCAGAGAAATGTGGGTAGAAGCTGTGCTATAGCTTTTCTGAGGGCTTGTACCTGATCTAAGAACTACAGTGACGAATCGGCGTCCTACCAGATTAAGCATTTATCTACAGTGTCATAGCTTACCCTGCACATCCTTCCAGCAAGCTCTTGCGGTGAGGAAGGGTCCGCGTTTTGTACTCACGGGGTAAGGGAGGGGAGCTGGATGTGGGGAAAATCACTGACCTTTTATGAAGACCTGAATTTGTTTTGTGCTTTTTTTTTTCCCTTTTCTCTTGTAGCAACAACTACGTATGAGGATCAAGTTGACGTATAATCACAAGGGCTCAGCAATGCAGGATCTAGCAGAAGTCAACAACTTCCCCCCTCAGTCTTGGCAGTGAGGCTCTGGCACCATTCTTATTCTCACCCCACCCAATCAAAAGAACTCTGGGAAGAAGGTTGTGATCCTTGGCAATCCCCCAAACTGCACCATGGGCATGGGGAACAGATGAGACCTGCTGATGAGGAGGAATTTTCCTGAAGTGATTGCTGACTTTGAAGCATATCTGTTAAGACTAATCTCCTCTCCTCCGCTGATGAGGCTGGCGGCTTGTGGAGGCTACTGTGCACTCCCTCACACATGCATTCACAGCCAGAAGCAACATTCCCTTCGCCCCTACCCTCCCCCCCGGCCCCTCCGCAAAGCAACACAGCCTGGTTGGAAGAGAAGTCTGGAATTTCTAGCAGGGAAACTTTCTTCTCTCTGCAGCAAGTGAACAGCTGCCCGTTCTTTCCGCTGTCTTTTTCCCCTGGGGTGGGCAAGACGTGTTGTCATTCATTACTAGCTGGATTCCTTCAGGCACTTTCACATGGGGCTCAGACTGGGGACTTGGGGAATGTCAGGCTGCCCTGCCTCTTTCTTCTTGTATCCCCAATGTCTGAAGGGGCTGGAGGCTTCTTACGGCCTATTCAGTGCATTATTGTATACACCCACCTCTGAGTTACGTGATACATGCCAAGAGCAAGTTAGGTCTTGGGAGTTATCTGCAAGCCTGGGACAGTGCAGGAAAAGAGGTGCTGGTGAGAGCTGATAAAATTGCTTTGGTGCTGTACTTGGAAATGAAGACTTTACACTTGAATTTTCTTTCTTTCCATCAATAGCTACAGCCATGCAGATTCACAGATGGTCTTCTGTACCTTCCCCAGAAAGTGTGGTGATGTATGAGAGATGTAGAGATCCAAGGAGCAGCTGGTTTTCTACCACAGACAGTTTCAAAGCCTTTTAACCCATTAGTTGTGGTTTATGGGTAGAAAAGACACATTCAATTTTGTAGATCAGTCTTTGAGGACTCTGTTCCTGCTGGGAGACTCATCAGAGACTATGCTGCAAAGTTGCTCTTCCCAGTTATTCCAGACCTTCTCCCCAATTTGATTTCCAGAGCCTACAGTAGACCCCCTGGATTCCATTTGAGTTACTTCTGACTGGGATATTTGTGTTGTATCTGTAATATTGGCACTGAAATAAAGACCATGCGGTTTAAAGAGACCTTTTCCCATTTTGTTACTTAATTGATCCTTGTAGTTTGCTCCTTGCTCCCCTTTCAGAGAAGTGTGCTAGTCAGGTTCAGACTGAAAGTAACTAAACTGGTTTTTGAATGGAAGCCAGTCGTTTGAGTGTTTGGATCCAAAGATGTGAGCTCCAGTACTCTCCTAAGCTTACAGAAAGCTGTGTTCAGTTATGCTTCCTAGTGTGAACTGTTGTCGACGTAGTAGAGTTCTCTGAATTCTCATGGAGGCGATGTATATGACATAAAACACGATGTGACAAAACTATTCAGATGTTCAGCACTCTTCAGGGAGGGAGAAGGGAGGATGTATCTTAGGTCTTCATCCATGAGTGTGCTGGTAAGCTGAAGGTGCTCCAGCTTCCAACCCAGTGCTTTCTCAAAGGAAACGGATGGCACATCTGCTTTATTTATGTTCTAGGGTTTCCAGATCGTGATCGATCAGTGCACTCATGGCAGGCTTAGACACAGCTTTTTGCATCTGCAAATGTGCTTCCACTAGGCTCAAGTCCTTGCCAAAAACGCTGCAAGGGTGGTGCACAGTGTACTTAGAAAACTGAAGACCTGTTCTGCCCTTGAACTGGGAGCAGGAGGCCACTAAAGGTTGTTCAGTCTGCTTTGGTTTTAACTGCATTAAGTAATATAACGTAGGACTGACTGTCACTGACTTAAGTGTTGGTCTGTGTAGTGGAATAAATTTAGCTTCTTTTGGAGGGCATTTTTGCTGCCTTATTGATTAAACAGGTTTGGGCCTTTGGATTAGCAAAGAGCTTTACTGTTCTACTGGAACTGGCATCAGCATGGGGTTATAGAATCTAGAAGAATGATGTATGATTTCCTTAAAAGTAACTCTGGGTTGTGGCAGGGTCATTCTTGGCTGTCAGTGGTGAGACAGATACTGCGCTTCAGCTAGCAGCGTCACGAAGCAGGCAGTCTTGCAGAAAATGGCTGAATTGAAGTCCATTTCTAGGTGCTGGGCATTTACCTTTGTTGCTTTCACTGCATTTGTGACTATTCACCACCCCACTAGCTCAAACTCTGTAGTCTTGAAGGCTGAGCATGTTAAATCTAGACTCCAGTGAGCTCTGAGGGTGTCCCAGATACAAAGCTAATGGAGAGTCCTTAGCTCCTGAACACCCCATAAGCTCTCCCATTCTCCTCGCAGAATTGTACATGGTCACTTGTACTGAAAGCTGGCACACCTCAGTCTCCATTTGTTTTTGCTGAGAAAGAGCACTGGTGCGGGAGATCAGATGGGGAGAAAGAAGTAAACGGTCTCTCACCTGGCCAGTTTGTTGCAGCGTAGCTGGGAACAGCTTATCTTGTCCCTTTTGTTGCACTTGTTTTCTGTCCCCTGGAACAGCTGGGTTTTGCTGTTGGTCTCTGTCTGGTAAGCTTGTAGGGTAAATTCCTACTGTGTTCTTGGCTCCTGCAGCCACCCTTGCACAGTGTTTGTGTTTTGGGAAATAGGTGCTTTGTCGTATATCTCTGAGTCGAGCTGAAGGAGGTGGTGTGTGTGCCTGAAATGCGTTTTGCTTGAAGCCATCCCTTGGCTGTGAAGCACTCCTTTGTAGCAGCCGAACGTTCCTGTTATCCTTTGAGCTCTTTCCCTTCCCCTTGCTAAGGGACGGGGTACTAACCTTACGCCAGAAGGAAGGCCAGGTTTCACACATGGCCGTATCTTCTGTACTAGATACCGTTGCTTGCTCCTTGACCCCTACGTACATCTCTTAAGCTCTGTGCTGCTGCTTTGTTTTCTCACTGGAGAGTACTCGCATGTCCGCATCTGAGGCACTTTGAGGATAGGGTGAGTCTTTTTTCCACCAGTTGAATGCAACAATTCTTACAGGTCTGGTCAACGTTTTCCTTGCTTCAGTAAGGGGAGTATAAAGGGAGCAAGATGCAGACGTCATGGCTAATCTTACCAATATCTGCATTGGAGACTTTGGAGCTGAGAGAGATTGAATGTCTCTCTTTTCAAGTGAATGTATTCCGAGTCAAAAAATGACAGAAAATAGTGGCCATCATGGGCCTGAAGGGGGAGAAGACATGGGAAGGTCCTAAGATTCGACTTTGTCCGGGTGTTGATGGGATAAAATATGGCCTTGAACAACCTTTTGAAGCAATAGCAGTGAGGGGACTGCCATCTATACAGTACCTTGGATATATAACTCAGAACATGCTGAAACAGCTGGGAAAGGTGACTTAGTGCCTTCCCCAAGGCTGGTACGAGCTGCAAGATGGAGCAGCAAAGATGGCTTTTTTTTAGATCTGCTGGTGCGCTTTCTATGTGTTCATTTTCTACTTGGGGGCTGTGA